ACGCATTCAATTGATCAAAATTGACAGTAAAGACATTTATAATGTTACAAAAGATTTCTATTGCAAATAAATGCTTTTTGAAGAATCCTGAAAAAAATTTATAACAGTTTCCACACAAATAATAAACAGCTAAAACAACTTTTCAACCTTGATAATAATCAGAAATGTTTCTTGAGCATCAAATTAGCATATGATCTCTGAAGGACCGTGTGACACTGAAGACTAGAGTAATGATGCTGAAAATTCAGCTTTGACCACACAGGATTAAATGTTAATATTTAAATGTAAAACAGTTATTTTAAATTGTAATATTATTTCACAATATTATTGGTTTTACTATTTTTTATCCAAAAAAATGCAGCCTTAGCAATATTATCACCATCTGAAACATTCCTGTTGCGTATATTTTCCATTTAATAACTGCCTTGTCAATAAAAATTATAACTTCTAATTTCATTTTTCTTTTTTTAAATGGGTAAGGGTAAATAACTGTTGCTTGGGTACAAATCAATGATCAGTTTTCATTTTTAGCAATGTATTTTTATATTTGCTAGATGCATTTATATGGTTAAATAACTGTATTCTTCACAACATTTTTTGTTGTTCAGCAAAAGTATTATTTTTGCAGAAAAAGACAATTTGCAACAATCTAGAAATTATACAGCTATGAATTAAGTAAATCTAAAAACAAATCATAAACCTACTGGAAAATTGATAGCATACAATGAAAAACAAAGCGAAAGGTTTGAAGTCAACAAGTGATTATTTTCTTACTGATGCTTTCAAGACTATTGCAAGTCATTCTTGCACAAAAATCTTTGCAAGGCTACACAACATTATAAAATCAGCTAAATTTGCAACAACCACAACATAGAATAAGTCAGAAATGTTTAGGCATTAAAAACGGACAAATCAGATCAACGAATGTAAAAAAATTCAGTACAATAGCAATGCAGAACTGGCCCCAAACTTGTGGATTTCAATCTTTGAATGAAAAAAACAACAACAACAACAAGATGGTCACCCACAACACTTGATGGTTCGTTTTCAGCTAAACTAGTAAGCAAACAATTGGAACTATAAAATTAAACCACAAAGTGAACACAGAATTCAGGCTTGTGTAATTCACTTTAAACTGGCCGATTCTCAGCTTTAATCAAAATCTGAGCAAAATCACGACTACAAAAAAAAACAGTTCGGGAACAGGAGAACAGAGAGCAACCACAGAACTCCAATCAAAAAAAAAGTGTTGAGAGAAGAAACAGAAAGAACTAGAAGAAGACAAAACAGAAGGGAGCAAGAGATTCAGGGCTGCTTACATAAGCAGGGTTATATAAGAGAAGGCAGCGAGCGGTGTGAGAATGTAGGCCACGCTGGCCGTGACACACTGACACATTCACACACACCGTACAGCTCAAGCACAGCCTGTTCCACAACAACCTGCACCTTCAGACACACACACACTGACTCGCTTCAGTTCAATCAAGCAATAACGTCAATACAGCTGAGCTGTTATTATAAACCGTAGAACTTTTCTGTTTTCCTATAATGAAACACAAAATGAATATTCCCAAGTGCTTTTGTCTGTACACTGAAAGTGAATGAAGTCGGACGCTGTCAAGCATCAAAACTGGCAATGAAAGCATCATAAAGTGGCCTATAGGACTCAAGTCCTCAGTCATAGACTGTTTTTATGTATATGCATGATTTATAACACTTTATTATAAACTTTACGATAAAATATTATAAGTATTTTATTGTATTATTTTTTTTATTGTACAATAAAGTGTTATACGTATTTATACATTTGTAAGTATTTATGCTTCAAGTCATACAACAAAATTATATTATATAAATATATTTTATACATTTATTTTATCTTAATACAAATAGCAAAAACATACATTATATAATTTTTTCATGCAAAACATCTTAATTTGTGCTTCACAGAAGGCAGACAGTCGTACATTGTAGGAAACATCATAAGGAAGAGAAAACGATGAAAGATCGAAAGATGAACTAAACTATTCCTTTAAGGTCAATCTCTGCATTGTTTTACAGCTGTTCCAACAACAACAACAAAAAGAGCAGAAATGCAATGACTTTCAATGAAACCAGATGTTGAATTCATCTGGAAGGTATCCAGATCTATTCAGTAGAGTATTTATCAGCTTTACATAATTTGTATTTCCCTATATCTATCTATCTATCTATCTATCTAATCACTTTATTACACACAAAGCCCACCATTGCAGACCCACTGATCTCGACTCTCTCTAATCTCTAATTTACATAGAAATCGAGCACAGAAACCAACCCAACCATGTTGGATTAAATAGCCCTTTAAATCCATCATCTATTCCGTTATGAGAGTGAGTGACTGTGTAAAATGAAACTGAAGCTCGTGAAGATTATTCTGCACCTGCGCTTGACACAAACTGCTGTCATCATATAAAACCACGAACCCACATCACATTTCATTACACTAGGTCTATATTAACCTATTTTGATATCATATATCACACAAAAGCGCATTCGTGGACTTAAGTGAATGAGGCACATTTACATAACTGTACTTGACCAGCAGCGCCGCTAAGAGAAGAACAACCAGCCTGAAAACTCACCCAACATCCACAATAGGAGCACAAAACCACGTTAGACTAACATATCTGGATGTTTAGTATCGCATTATATGCGTTATGTGTAAAACACGACATTATTTCAAGCCTGACGAGCGCGCTAGCTGTTAGCGCGTTAGCACGAAAGCGCGATGCTCTCTTTTGTTGACGTTAGCTTCCGCGCTAACTCTGCTCAAATATAACTGATAAAACACATTATCGCCACTTACACAAGCGTGTGCGGTGTTAAATCAATGTCTTACCTTTTTACACCCTTTTTAGGAACCCGCGGCTGTGCTGTGATTCATTGAAGAATTAATATTATTTTTAGTAATACTCACTGATTCTTTTATTTTAACTACCAATTGTGCACGAGCACCGACCTCAAACGCCCGTCGAGGCGCACAGACGGAGTCTAATGGTTCCGCTCTTCATACGGTCCGGGGGGCTGAATGTCATTGAGTGTTTCATAATCACTTAGAGCCAGGGTTGCATAAAAGTAAATACAACAAGGTGGGGTGTTGTGTAAATGCCTAGAATAATCCAGCTGGATGACTTACAAAAGGAAGTTTAAGACAAGACTGTCAGTCACAGGTTACATTCTTTTACTTTCATTTAGTTGTCATTTTGGCATATCTTTGTAATATATAGTACACACGTTTTGATGTTTCAAATATTATATGAAATGATTGCATACATATAAAACAGTATATATCTTAACATACTGTATATAGCTAATAGGTGATATTTTATATAACTTATTATATAATAAAGCATTTGATGATAGGCTGTTATATGTTATAAAACAGCAATGTTCGTGGAAAGGTTGTAGATGCCGAACATATCCAAGCTAGATGACTTTTAATGATAAAGCCTGTGTCATTACACATAATATGATTTATTTTGTAACTGATAATGTACGTTTTTGTAAAGCAACATATTCTTGTATTAAATATATTTTAAATATTGTTAAAAAATGTCTTATATAATTTAAAACGTTATTGTTACACAATACATGTAAAATATTTGATGGCAATAAAGTTATATATAACTAAAATGTAAGATGTAAGTCGCTTTGGATAAAAATGTAAGTGTAAGTCGCTTTGGATAAAAGCGTCTGCTAAATGACTAAATGTAAATGTAAATGTAAAATAAGATATGTGCATGTTATATAATTTTAATTATATAATTAGGAAGCATTTTATAAAACAGCAATGTTTAAGGAAATGTTTTGTAAATACTTAAAATAATCTATATTGAAGGCTTTTTACTTTAGCCTGTTTTATTATAAATGTTATATTATATAATTATAAAACAATATAACTTGTCATGTAATAATAGGCTTTAATTAATATATCATCATTTATGGATACAAATCATATATATATATATATATATATATATATGTCACTTTAGCCTGTATTATTATAAATATCATATTATTTTGTAATTAATAATGTAATAAAATACTTTCATTAATATTTTTGTATACAAAGCCTTTTTTAACTTATTGGTTGTTGTTGTTTTTTGCATTTTATCCGGCATCATTATAAATACTGTAATGAATCACATTACAATCATATTACAATGTAATACTTTTTACTTACTGTATTTTTTGCATTTTAGCACATATCTTTATAATATTTTTATATTTTAAATATTATCTTAAAATATTCTTATATAATCTAAAATATTATTGTTTGATATATATAGTAAATCTATAATATTTTGTTGTGTAAAAATAAGTGATATTTAATATATTTAAAGTGGATGCTATTCATGTTATGTAACTTATTATGTAATTAGGAAGCATTTATGGCATGTTATGAAACAGCAATGCTCTCAAAAAGGTTTCTTATTGTGTAAATCTCAAGAATAATCCAACTAGATGACTTTTAAAATGTAGTTTAAGACAAAAAAAAATACTAGAGTTTTAAACCCTTATAATTAAACATTGTTTGTAAATATTATTATACATATGTTGCATATTATTACTACTGATTCTAAATGCCCCAAATTGATTTTTTCTTGGCCAAAATGATAAACTATCATAGAAAATAAAAAAAAAGAAAGTAAACTACCGTACTACAAATCGCTTGTTGAAGTAGCTTTGCCGAAAGGTATTTAAACAAAACTTACGTAATGCTTAAGGAATATGTCACATATTGATTGTTTAGATTGAGATATAGCAAAATCACATACAAGTTCACCGTAAAAACAATAAAAAAAACAATACAAGAATAAATAAACTGTTACGAAACTAGAACCGTAGGTTGTCAAAGATGTGTGTTGAGCTTCACAGCACAGCGCCATCCAGCGCTTCTTCACTGCATTACACTACTGACTCACGGCGCAGCGGGATGACGTCACCTACAGTCGACGGCGCTGCTCTTCATTGTGTTTACCTTACTAGCCTTTCAGATCGTTCAAAGATGGATCAAATATGTACTAGAAAATGATTGATGTAGTTCTTTCTAATATAATGGACTGGTCGATGATTTAGCGGAGTTTTGGTGACTCTGATTTCTGCAAAAATGAACAAAGGTTGGTTGGAGTTGGAAAGTGACCCGGGTGAGTCTCTAAATCAACATTTATGCATATAATATTGGAGTTTGGTTGTTCATTATTTATCAATCATTATCTTATTATTTATCAAATATGCTGTAAGTTAACATGTCATCTCGCTATATAGTAGAACAGTAGTGAATTCAATGCATATGAAAATTTAACACACTCATATGATCTCATATTAACGTCATCATATTGGCTGTTTCGACTTTCAGGGTTGTTCACACTCTTGGTGGAGGACTTTGGTGAGTTGATCTGTATGACACACACACATGCCAAAACGATTTATTGCTTTTATGGGATCAATTACAGTATAAATATGAGTGATGGTGTTTGAATGTGATAAACAATTATTGATAAAACATGGAGTGTTATGAATATTAAATGAGTTTAGACGCTTTGGGTAAATGAATTAATATGTGAAGATTCATGTAAATGGCTTGTGTTTGGACACAGGTGTGAAGGGCGTCCAGGTGGAGGAGATCTATGATCTTCAGAGCAAATGTCAAAGGTGCATTTATCAAACATTTTTCCTTTTTAAGCCTGTATATTTATGATTTTAATATATGCACTCACTGGTCACTTGGTAACACCTTGCTAGAGCCAGATTTGACCCACTTTTACCTTCAGAACTGCCTTAATTCTTTGTGGCATAAATTCAACAAGGTGCTGGAAGCATTCCTCAGAGATTTTGGTCCATATATACATAAGAGCATCGTGCAGTTTCCAGCACATCCCAAAGCTGCTCTCTTGGATTGAGATCTGGTGACTGTGGAGGGCATTTGAGTTTAGTGAACTCAGTGAACTCATTGAACTCATGTTCAAGAAACCAGTTTGACATGATTTGAGCTTTGTGACATGGTGTGTTTTCCTGCTGGAGGTAGCCATCAGAAGATGATACACTGTGGTCATAAAGGGTTGGACACAGTCAGTAACAATACTCAGGTAGACTGTGGCGTTTAAACGATTCTCAATTAGTACTAAGGGGCCTAAAGTGTGCCAAGAAAATATCATTACATCACTACCAGCAATCTGAACCGTTGATACAAGGCAGGATGCTTTAATGTTGTTTACGCCAAATTCTGACCCGACCATCTGAATGTTGCAGCAGAAATCGAGACTCATCAGACCAGGCATCGTTTTTCCAATTTTTGGGGAGTGTGTGTGAATTGTAGTCTCAGTTTCTGTTCTCAGCTGACAGGAGTGTCACCGGTGTGTGTCTTCTGCTGCTGTAGCCCGTCTGCTTCAATGTTGGACGTGTTGTGCGTTGTGTAACCAGTCTGTTCATTCTCCTGTGACCTCTGGCATCAACAAGGCATTTATACCCACGGAACTGCCGCTCACCTGATATTTTCTCTTTTTTTAATCATTCTCTGTGAACCCTAGAGATGGTTGTGTGTGAAAATCCCAGTCGATCAGCAGTTTCTAAATACTCAGACCAGCCCGTCTGGCACAAACAACCATGTCACGTTCAAAGTCTCTTAAATCAGCTTTCTTCCTCATTCTGATGCTCAGTTTGAGCTTCAGCAGATTGTCTTGAACGTGTCTACATGCCTAACTACTTTAAGTTGCTGCCATGTGATTGGCTGGTTACTAGATATGAATTAATGAGCAGTTGAACAGGTGTACCTAATGAAGTGACCGGTGAGTGTGTGTATATATAATATATATATATATATATATATATATATATATATATATAGCTCTTCTGTCTTTTTTCTTCTCCTCAGTCCAGTGTATGGCTTCATCTTCCTCTTTAAGTGGATCGAAGAGCGAAGATCTCGGCGTAAAGTCTCCACGCTGGTGGACGAAACCTCCGTTATCGATGACGATATTGTTAACGACATGTTTTTTGCTCACCAAGTGAGTCCTTATTGATTTAGTTTATTTCTTTGCCTATAAACTTATAATGGTAGCCTCGCAACATAAATCTGCCGTTATTATCCCCGTTTTCTATCGTCTGTTTGTGGATTGTTGTGTGCAGTTGATACCGAACTCCTGTGCTACTCACGCTCTTCTGAGTGTGCTACTGAACTGCAGCGGCGTGGAGCTGGGAAACACTCTGAGCCGCATGAAAGCTTTCACCAAGGGCTTCAGTCCTGAGGTCAGTTACACACATGAACACCATTTTTAAGCATGACTTAAAGGGATAGTTCACCCCAAATTCTTCAACCTCAGTCGTTCCAAACCCGTAAGACCTTCGTTCATCTTCGGAACACAGATGAAGATCTTTTCGATGAAATCTGAGAGCTTTTTGTCCCTCCATTGACAGCTACCCAACTACCACTTTGACGCTTCAAAACGTTCAATAACATTCGTAAAACGAACCCATATGAATCGAGCGGTTTAGACCAAATTTTCTGAAGAGACTCGTTCACTTTATATTATGAACAGATTGAATTTAGGCTTTTATTCAGAAATAAACATCCATCACCGCACACTTCAGTTGTGGTAAACGGAAGCTCAAGCATGAGCTTCCAATGAGGTTCATTCTCGTGTTACGCAGCACGTTTGAGCTTTTTGCAAGAACCAATGAGGTTCATTCTTGTGTTACGCAGAACATCTGAGCTTCGGCAAGAACCAATGAGGTTTGTTCTCACGTCTCAAGCGTGTTCGGTTGATCTTCTGTTTATGTTCGCTGATCAATGTTTAAACGTGAATAAAAGCCAAAATTCAATTTTCCACATGTAAAGCGATCGAGTCTCTCAGAAAATTTTTACTAAACCGCTCAATTCATATGGATTAGTTTTACGATCTCTTCATGAACTTTTTGTAGCATCAAAGTGTCAGTTGTGTAACTGTCAATAGAGAGTACAGAAAGCTCTCAGATTTCATCAAAAAGATCTTCATTTGTGTTCCGAAGATGAACAAAAGTCTTTCGGGTTTCGAAAGACATGAAGTTGAGGAATTAATGACATAATTTTCATTTTTGGGTGAACGATCCCTTCAAGTCATTGCACTATAAGAAAACAGAATAAGCACACTTTTGCATCTTCTCAATGCCTGTGTTTTAAAGCACTGCATTTTTTGACTTCTTAGAGTAAAGGTTACGCCATTGGAAACGCCCCTGAGCTGGCGAAAGCCCACAACAGCCATGCCAGGTAGGGTCAGCTTTAATATTATTCTGCAAACTCTTTCCCGCTAACATAGAATAAGTAGATTTTACGCAATCAATCTTAGTTGTTGTCTCAATCTGTTGTTTTGTAGTTATTGTTTTTGTCTTGTTTCCATGGAGACCGGAGCCGCGGCACCTGCCGGAGAAACAGAACGGCATCAGCGCCGTGCGGACGATGGAGGCGTTTCACTTCGTCAGTTACGTGCCTATCAAAGACCGGCTGTTTGAATTGGACGGGCTGAAGGCGTATCCCATCGACCACGGTGAGAACTTAACTCACAAAAGACAGTTTTACTGACAGTCCGACGAAGGACAAGGTTATAATAATCTGTCTGTCTCTCTCAGGGCCATGGGGTGAAGAGGAAGAGTGGACCGATAAAGCCAGACGGGTCATAATGGAGCGAATAGGACTGGCCACTGCTGGGTAAGAGCCAGACTGGTCAATATTCACATCTCTAGCCAACAGGATGAGGAAATTATATATAGAACATCAAGAATATTGCAATATTTTAATGCACTTTTTATTCAGATCTTCTGTACAGGTTTTTTTTTTAAGCATGTCATTTTTACACTTTAGTTGAATTCTCACTATTAACTAGTTGCTTATCAGCCTTGGCCGATTATTAGTACTTATAAATAACATATTAATGTCTTATTCTGCATGATCATATTCTAAATCCCTTGATTCTACCCAATACCTAAATTTAACAACTACTGTCGTGGAAATAATTCTATTCGAAAAGTTAGGAGGAAGGAGACAAGTGGAAACCTTTGAAAAGTCAAAGTATCAAATGTTTTATTTCTTGCAAGAAGTAAAATTGAATTGGCATTCACATACAGACAGCATCTATATGAGAAGGCCAAGGGCTGATCCTTTTCGCCAGGTTATATACCCTAACACATCCTGAGTAGGCTGCATCTGTTTCAGAAGATTACTTTTGTTGCCTTAAAAGGAAACGTGTTTGTTCAAGATCTCTTGTCGGACATAAATTTGTCTAGACAGAACAATGACATCTTCGTTTAGGTTTCCTGTTTTTAGCTGGTTTGATCAAAAGCTGCACACATACATCTCACACTTGAAGTACACAATAGGTCACTTGGTCTTCTGTAACCCAGAAACATTTTGTTCCAGAAAGCTTATCTTAACTTATGCATTTCTAACAGCTTGGTTATATCTTTAATAATGTCCTTTAGCTTATATGAACATCTTCCTTTAAATGCTTATGAGTACATAAATCCTCAACGTTAATAAAAGTTGCACACATCTAAAAGATAAAAGAACACATCTAAAAGTAGAAACACATCTAAATGTAAAATTTACACTACCTTACTAACTATTAATAAGCCGTAATTAGGAGTAGTTGAATTCAACATTTTGAATCTACATTACAACAATTGGTTTCTCTGATAAAAAAAAAAAAACTAATACCCTATAAGTCACACATATATATATATATATATATATATCTTTTTTGTTAAAGGTGGAAAAAATATTAATATATTAATAAAAAATAAGCAAATTTTTTGTATATATTCACATATTCATTATATTAAAAAATAAATGTATAATTTTTATTATTATTATTATTATTATTTAAGCAATTTATTATTTTCTTTCTAGCATATCTGATTTGTCTTCTCTCCACTCAGAGAGCCCTACCATGACATCCGCTTCAATCTCATGGCGGTGGTTACAGATCGCAGAATAAAATACGAGTCCAGGCTGGACGTCCTGAAACGGAACAGGCAGATTATTCTAGAAGGGCTCCAGCAGGTTAGAGAGAAAAAAGTGAGTAAATTCTTCTTTGTTTGAATAAAATCCTGATAATCAAGCTTTCTGTGAATGATTTCTCTGTGCACGGTACAGTCGGGCTCATTTGTAAATGCTTATGTGTGCACCACTGTACATGCTACAGGTCATTCGGGTGACCCAACAAGATTCAGGCCAAGATCGTAAGCAACAAGACTCCTCCTCTTCAGAAGACACTCCCACTGCTGTTAAAAAGGAGGAAGGGCAAGACACACCAATAACCATGGGTACAGAGAAGGCCACACCCACAGGTACCTCACACAATTTGATTTGAATATAATTTAGTTTAAATGTTTTAAATGTATTTAAATTTGGAGCCTTTTGATTTAAGGAGAAGAATGAAATCAGTGGGAGTGTTTTTGCCTCAAAACTATGTGAATAAGAACCTAAAACATGTCCCATGACATTATAGAAACTCAAGAAGGTGCTGCGGCTCTACCAAGTCCCTCTGGAAAAGTCAGACCCATGGCTAAACCCGCCGCCTTGCCAATAGTGGGCGCTCCGCCACCAGCCCCTCTACCTGTTCCTAGTCCCAACCCCATCGTCCAGCGTCTGCCACACTTCCTGGACAACCACAACTACGCCAAGTCCCCCATGCAGGTAAGATCAGGTTAAGTTTCAGGTTATCTGGACGCGTTAACATATGTGTTTTCACTCAGTATTTTGATTGATTGACAGGAAGAGGAGGATCTCGCTGCGGGTGTGGGACGCTCACGCTTACCTGGCCCCCCTCAACCCCCTTATTCTGACGACGAGGAAGACTATGATGATGAAGAAGAGGAGTGCAGCACTACAGGTGCCACAAGCAGGTATTAGATGTTTGAGAAAGTGTTACATTTCTAAATTAAATTTAAAATGTGTTCTTGTAGCGGTAACAAACCTCCAGAACTCAAGAGGGCGATAGTCCCTTCAAATGTCTGTACCGTTAAACTGCAGGTGTTATTATTTAGCTAACTATAAACATAGCGACATGCTTAACAACCGCTAGCTAACATGCTTAGCAACATTCTCACAATGATATTAGTAAGTAGTTGAACACTTACCAAAGAAGAACAATTACCAGAGAAACACCTTGCGGCAAAGCTGTGGCGTATTTGAATACTTTTGAATACAAGAATACTTTTTGTGCGCAAAGGTGTTTCTCTGGTATAACCCAAATAACGACTTTATTCAGCAATCTCTTGTCGTTGAATGAGAAGCGGTGTTCTGATGTATTACCTGGAAGTGCTGCACTGTTTAAACTTCGTCAACAGCATAGGAGAATGACGTGGAAGAGAAGAGATTGTTGAATAAAGTCGTTATTTTGGGGAGTTTTGAGCACAAAAATATTCTTGTCGCTTCATAAAATTAAGGTTGAACCACTGTAGTCACATGGACTTTTTAACGATGTCTTTATTACCTTTCTGGGCCTTGAAAGTTGCAATGACGTTGCTGCCTATGTGGGGTCAGAAACCTCTTAGATTTCAACCAAAATATCTTAATTTGTGTTCCGAAGATGAACGAATGTCTTACGGGTTTGGAACGACATGAGGGTGAGGAGTTAATGACAGAATTTCAATTTTTGGGTGAACAAACCCTTTAATAAAGAAAAAAAAGCAATTTTATGTTTTGTTTCTCCACCTGCTGTACCAAAAACATACCGAACCCTTACTTCAAAACCAAAAACATACCGAAGCCTTACTTCAAAATCAAAAGTACATACCAAACCACCATTTTTGTGTAGTTACACCACTATGACCTCTATTGTTTGTGTGTCTGATTGGCAGGGTCCGAAGAAAGGTGGGTCTACGCACACGTACCATGAGCCGCACTGGAGTGAGCGGGGTTGCGGCAATGGAGGGTCAGCTAGCACTCAGCGTTTTAGCTGAGAAACTCAAGAAGGAGGTCCAGAGGAAGGACGCAACAGGATCCACACCTCTGAACGTTCGTACCGAGGGTCGCACGGGTGGGATCAGCATCACCTCGGCCTGCCAGCCTTCACCCACACCCAGTAACGAAAGCACAGACACGGCCTCTGAAATCGGCAGTGCGTTCAACTCACCGCTGCGCTCACCCGCGCGATCGCAAGCGGCAACACGTCCCTCCAGCCCCGTGGCGGCCCACTTGAGTCGCGTGCTGTTCGGAGAAGAGGAGGGGCTGCTCCGGTTAGATGCCCGACACAATCGAGCCGTCCGAGACTTGGGGGCGCTGGTGAGCTCCACGCTGCTGCGACTGCAAGAGGATGGCGTCATGTTTGCTCTGCCACCTACAGGTAACAATGAGATTGAACGTTTTGAAATCTAATTGGACCCTATTTTTATTCGTGATAGATTTTCTCGATCCTATTGCGAAGGATTCATCAATTGTTCCCGTATTGGTTTGGATAACTTTGATCTCATATGACAGAAACGTTGGAGGGGTTGAAGAAATCAGGTAGTGTGGAGAAGAAAGAGAAAGAAGAGGCGACCTGTCCAGGAGGAGAGGACGAAGCTAAGGAGGGACCTTCGGTGGAGATGAAACAGGAGGACGTCAAAGAGTCAGTGGACGTCAAATCAGACAAGGAGAACCTGCCGTCCACCGACGCCACCACTGAGACCAGCAGCAAACCTTCTGGAGAAAAATACACTCCTAAAGTGAGACGGCAACCATTTTCTTTCTGCAATCATTTTGTTTCTCATTAGTTATGTTTGGTACAGGTTTGTTATGCAGTTACATGAACTTGAGGGTTTCTGTCTTACAGGAGTTACTAGCCTTGTTGAAGTACGTGGAAGCAGACATCACAAACTACGAAGTGTGTCTGAAAGAAGAAGTGGAGAAAAGGAAAAAGTATAAGGCAAGTGTTTGACTTCATCTTCGACGGTCCAGTGAACAAAGAAATATGATTGCCAGAGAGCTTATAGTGATGCTTTTTATCCTTTCTCAGATCGATGACCAGAGGAGGACTCATAACTACGACGAGTTCATCTGCACCTTCATATCAATGCTGGCACAAGAAGGTAAAAAGCATTTTTGTCGAGAATCTTCATATGTTATATGTTCAATGAAATAGCAACGTGAATGTTCTGCTAATCGTCGTCTTTTGCATTCCATTATAGAACGAAAGTCATATGGGTTGTAACAACATGAAAGTAAATTGCTTGGAAATGATTCTTTTAATCAAATGTCCCTTTGGTGGTTTGTAGGTATGTTAGCGAGTCTGGTGGAGCAGAACATCTCTGTGCGTCGCCGACAGGGCGTAAGCATCGGCCGGCTCCACAAACAACGCAAACCCGACCGGCGGAAACGCTCACGGCCGTACAAAGCCAAGCGCCAATAAACGCCAACTTCATGACTCAATCTTTCTGAGACATTGTCCTGACACATTTCTGAAGACAAGCAACAAAAACAAACACCTCATTGACAGTGTTAGTGATGATGTTGATTCAAATATTGTTTTTTAACCTAATGAATTGTTTGTTTCACATTGTAAACTGCCCACATCCATAGTACACCACTTCCAAAGCAAATTGGTGATGTTCAAAAGATGATAGTAGAGATACTGAATCATTTGTCATGTTGCCAGATGAAATCCTTATTTTGTACTGTATCAAGCTAATCATAAAACCAACAATCATTGTAGCACCATATTGAGAAAACAACTGTGCCATTATTAGGGTAATATTTTAAGATTGAGGATCAGGGCTGGAGTAATTCAGGCTTTAAAATCCAAAGATTTCAAGGAATCCTAATCTCCAGACATCCCAAATATCCAATTAAAGTGCTACCAAAGATAACAACGCACCAGATTCACTCAAACAGTGCTTGCCCTGAGAATGTCTATTGTTACCAAATGGACCAATCGCCAATCTGGATGGAATTCTAGAGATACGTTCACAGCCGTTCTGGGATCAGTGTTCAGTCATTTTGTTTATAAGAATACTAGACTTAAAAGGATCCAAGATTGGCACTGTCACTTTGGAATATTTTAAGATTGTAAACTTGAGTTGGTTTGTGAATTGTATTTCATTTCATTTAATAGAAATCATCACTGTAAGAGTCGAAGAAGATATGGTTTTTGTTATATATAATTGTTCTTCAAAATTTTCTTGAAGATTGTTTTTGTTGGCAATAGACCTGTGGGTTTTGTCTCATATGTTTGTTTGTACATATGTATTTGTGTTATCTTATGTCTAAACAAGACTGTCAGATCTAGACATTAAAATAAATGTTTTGAATTACACTGGTGGTCTTGGTTTTAGTTTGAGAAGTCTCTTGCATGGGAGTAGCTAGTCTTAATAGGTCTAGTCAGCAGCAGAAAAATAAAACCCACCTGAAACTGTTGAGACGCGTCATTCTCAACACCCTCCGCACGAAGTGAAAGAGCAGCATGGCTTCCAGCGTCCCGGTGCTGCTCATGTTCTTGGCTTTATTCTTCACGACTATAGTCAGTAAGTGTCTAAACGTTTTAACGCGTTTAAACCTGTTTTTAGTAAATCGATGTTTTTGAAGTATGAAAATAAAATGTTTCATTAGAAGGATGCTGTGCACGTCTTTAATATTTATTTGCTAGTTATCCTAATAATCCCATAATTAAAATCATTTGTGTTTTCACCTTTTTCAAGAGCTATTGTGGGGTTATTTGTAATTTCTCTCAACATTTTCGCGCGTTGCTTTTTCCCACGCATTATTGTTTGTAGTGTGTGCAGCGTGCTATAGTTCTGAATTATGTTAGTGTAACGTATTATAACTGTTTCTCTCTCGCAAAATGTTTATGTTGCTTAATCTGGTCAGCATTACTCCAAACAAGTAGCTTTTTAATTGGTCCACCAACACACCAGCTCATCGTCACATTTGGACATGTGAAGCTCATTATATGAAATTTGAGAATAACATTTTAGGGTCGTTTTATGTACATGCTAATTATTTTTAGATTCTTTGAAAGAACTGATTGTCGAAAATTATTCGAATTTCTTATAAGGTGTTGAAGAACTTAGTTAGCTGTATCCTGCATCCTGCGCTGGACAGCCAACCCGGCCCACATCCAAGAGTGACTTCAGAAGCCACGTGTCAGTTTCTGCCCCGGGGTCAGAGATTGCAGATTCTACCCAACCTAAAAAGTCTCAGTAGTATCCATCTAAAAATCTCTATGACCAAGAGCATATTTAAACAAATCATATTTAGATAAATCAAGTAAGTCTCCTTGGCTTTCATTGTCAATTGCGCTCATTTTAGCGGAAGAGAGAGACTAAATTTTGAATGCTTATATCTCCTTAATGCGAATTTTGTAATTGTTTTGGAACACACCAGCTTATTCATATCCTTAAGGCTAACATACTAAATGCTAAAGAACTTAAATTTTGATTTAAGGGGCCTTAAGGTTACAGTGACAGGTAGATCGTAGATGTAGGAATCATTGTTAGGTGTTGGCAATCAGTACTGTGATTGACATGACCAATAAAATCTGAAGAGTCTGAGTTTCCTCCGAACTGATTTGGTGTAAAAATTTTGGTGTAAAAATCACACTAATGGAAATGTGACGTATTTGGACACTTGGATGTGGGGTGGGATGGATGTCCACCCAAGCTGCAGCGAGACGCCTCTCAATATTTTTGTCTTTCTCATTAAATGCAATAATGAGAGACACTTTGAGCACTGGTTGCTGCAAAAAAGTTGAATAATTTATACAAACTGATAACTAAACAGAAAAGTTTGAATATCTGTAAAAATACTGTTCGAACAGATTATTAAACTCAAAGAGATTAAAAAATTTGTTTTTATGGGATTTCTTAAATATTTAACCTGTTGTCTGCTTTAAACAAGTGATTCCCAACACAAGACAACTAAATTATTTTGCCTTTTCAAAATGGTTCAGATCTTTTCTGTTCTTTTGTTTAGGCAGTGAGGATTGTAGCATGTTCGGGGGTAGATCTGAATGGTGTGATTCTGGAAAGTTCTGCTGTGGAATCTGTGGTGAGACGTACTGCTGCTCCGATCCGGGGGAAAAAATCAAAGAACAACTTGACTGTTTGTTGTGAGGAATTGCTTTTTTTCTTTCTTAATTTAAGTCAGAACTTAGTGTTGCACATTTCTGTTACCACGGGCTACTTATTTTGATGATTTTGTCATAATCTGGTACAAGCAAGTAGAATTGAACATTAAAGAGCGACGACGACAATAAGTTCTAGACACAGCTGCCTTTTTCAGAGAGCTTTCAGAACAGGAAACCCTTAAGAGGAAATACCTTCTTCCCATTATTTTCCGTTTTTCTACAAGCACAAACCTCTTCAGTCCCAAGACGACAAAGGATTTGTCTAGTAAAAATGGATGGCCGAAACCGATTTCCAGTGACCATTTGTAATCTAATATATTTATATTATAAAATTTAATTTATAATGTTTATTCTTCATAATCTGTCCAGAGAAAAAGGTTTCAAGAATTTTGGACCTCCTCCAATGGACTCTGCGCTTGATGACGTCCTTTCCCCCGTAGTAGTAGGAGTAGTCCTCATACTTGTGACCTCCATCATTGTGCTCATCACCTGCTGGGTCTGTCCCTACTGCTGTCTCTATAAAAGGTTCAGAAGTCCTAGACGTAAGTGCCAATGTGTCCGTCAATAGAGCCGAATGCTTTTAGAACGTCATTCCAATGTTGTTGCACCTTTGATTCTTCCTGCAGCTGTGATTGCGACAACTACAGTCATGACGACACAATACCTTCCACAGGCTGACATTCAGGGCGGTCGGTACCTTATTTCCCAGCCTTTGCCAAATAACCCACCTTACGGAGGCCAACCCATGCCAGTTGGTCCTTTTAAGGGACAACCATATCAGGAAGCTGGTAATGTCTGCAACAAGATGACCAAGGCTATTTGAGCAAGATGGCGAACAATGAAAATGATTGCTGTCCTTGTTTTCTAGCAGGTCCTGGGTATCCTGTTCCCTTCAGCCAGGCTCCCAACGACGGTTATCAGGCCATGTACCCTATACAACCAGCTCAACCACTGCTGCCCACTGACTACACCTCACCTCAACCTGCGTACAACCCCGCTTACGTGGATTAACCGGGTACAACTTTGGCTACGCCAGTAAAGACCAGTTACTAAACCAAAACCACTGGGTTACGCGTTTCCTCGCTTCTCTGCTCTAGTGAATTGTGCAGCTACTGTGGACACTGTCCTACAATGGTGTCGACAATACAAGTATTGTTGTTTGTTAATGCGTCACATTTATACTCTCTTGTTCGCCATTGCGAAGTTGCATTGTGCACTTGAATTTGTTTGTTTCTCCCTATTTTAACCAGATAATTTGCTGAAGTATTAAAGTGGATTATCTATCCATTGTCCAATAGTTTGGGATCCTAGATTGTTATAGATATTTTGAGATTGTACTACATTTGTTGGATTGGGTTCATTTTAATGGCAAAAAGGAATGGCGGGAGTCAAGTTGACTTTAGAGTCCTGAGTTTCTCACCTTTGTCTTGAAGATTGTTTTTGCTTGTTATTAGAGCCGTGGGTTGTCTCAGACATGTTCTGTCTGTTTCTATATATGCATTTTCTCATTTTTCATTAACATTTAAATAAATTTGTTTCAAATTACACTGCTGGTCTTTGGTTTCTTCTTGTGTTTCTTGGATGGGAGGAGCACAAACAGGCACATATCGGGATTGTTTGCATTACACCAGCAAGAAAAGCATAACTGGGTTTAATTGATTTTTCAGTTTCCAGAAATGCACCTGAAAGGTAACCTGAAAAGGTACTGGTAATTTGCTGGCAGGAAATTATCAGTTTATGTTGACATTTAACCTTAAACAACAATTCAATGCGTTATTCAAAATACGGGTAAAATGTAAAAAATGTGCAGGATGGATGGATGTCACACATTTTGGATTTATTTTGCTAACTATCCCCGATGTATTGTGTGCAAGTATTTCGAAATTATAAAGACAGTATAGGGTAATGAAACAAGGTATATTTCCAAACTTTAACTTCAGTCCAACATGTTAGAGATGTCCGATTCCTGAACGAATCTTCAACCGGACCTTTCCCAGACAGCAACATAGTGTCGGGCCCACATCTGGTACAAGTGGATTCCACACAGCCCAGATGTGGACAGGATCTGGAACGACACTGTGTTGTTTGCTGTCTGGGTTTCAATGAATAAAATAATGTGTCTAAATAATTTGTTCATCAATCCGACTCATAATCTCATTGAACAGAGAACCGTTTCAATGCGAGAATTAAGTAAGGGATAATCCACGGCTAGCCATACATTAAAGGATTTTAATGCACGACGTAGAGGCGAAGAACCACCCGACACTCTTTTGCAAGTGTAACTCTGTTACTATGGTTACCAATGTTTATAGTAGCAGATTAATTTCGAACTGTAATCAAACTGACTGGAACTACCTGTGCATTAAACGGTTTTACTGCACACCTTCCAGCCAATCGGAATCGAGTATTTAAACAGCCCGTGGTATAAAGGCTAATAGATTTTAGTATTGTTTAGCCTAATGTAAATTGTATTTAGATTCTTCATAAGAACCGATTGTCGGAAGTGAGGGGGACTTTTTCCAGGCTTTTAAACACTTTGTTTTCGTTATTAAAACGAAGAATGCAAGAGAAAATAACTTGTGAATGTGATCTAAACATGTTCCTTAACAATTTACTCTGGAAGGAACTCCAAAGTTTAAATCTGTTATAAACAGGGTGATTAACAACACAGATGAAATACTTGTAGCGTCTGGACGGAATCACAATGACTTACTCAACTTTGAGCTTCAGAAAGCTTTTAACCTATTGGACTCATTTCTGTAAATCACCAGTCCAGCGCCGAAGAGTCTGCATCAAATTGCTCCATTGACACGTTTGTGGCAAGGGAGAGTGTAAGCAGAAACACCCCAAATTCAAACTCATGAGCTTCAAAAAGATCTTAATCAACTCACTTCTCCTCCCACTGCAAGCACTGAGGCCAGGTGGCATGGCTGGACCTCTCGGAGATGCGCAATACAGATACACAAACATTCTTTCCATTTAACTCATATTATAGGTCATTCCAAAATGTATATTATATATTCATGTGTGCATGTATGTTTCCCACCTCATTTTATCTTAGTGATGACTTTCTAGTTGTGTTAGGTGAACTCTAAGTGCCTGTATTCAAGCATAAGAGTATATATCTCCTTTTGTATATGCCAAACATTTCTTGGTACCAAATTAAACCTCTCGATTTGCCTTAGCTAAATATATATAGTAGGTTACAATAAAATGTATTGTACTATGTTTACCACCTTTTTGGAGTAGGAATGACAAATTCTGGTGCAAATAGGTGCGGTATTAGTCCTCCTTAAAGAACGAAGACGGCGGCTCATCAATGCTTTTGCTTTTGCTTTTTGCTTGCTTCTTCTTGTCTGTTTGTTTAGCTTTTTGTCTTAGTCTTGTCATCTATTAGTCCTATCCTCAGGGTGAAACGGACTATTCCTCATTCCTCACTATTAGGCTACATCTATTTATTCAGACACCTTGTCTCATTTTGTAAATGTTGGATAACCATTTAAATGTCTGCAGAAAATGTAATAAAAAAACTTGGGAATAAAAAAACTATTTTTATCAATTATGTTCAACTCAGTTAAGCAGCTCTACAGAAGACTATAGTGTCATTCACTTTAAGGGGCCTTTTACACGAAACCGTTTTCAACTAAAAACGGAAAAGATTTTATGCGTTCTGGCCTTTCATTTACATGCCAATGGCGTTTTGGGGGCCTGAAAATTTATTTAGGATTTAGTGCAAGTTTTTGAAAATGATAGCGTTTTCGTCTCCATGTAAAATACAAAACCGTGAATTTGTGAAAACGGGGATGCCATGCACATGCGTATTACGTCTTCAGTCTATAGATGTCATGTAGCCCCGCCCCTTTTCAGTGCTGTACTCATTGTGTTCTGTCTTCCGGTTTGTATTTCCACAGCATGGAGGTAAGATCTTACAGATTTATGAATGAACCGCTCGTTTTAAAATCTTCTTGGTCTACTGACATTTGTTATGACAGCCGCTTCAAACATTACAATCCTCATGATAACTTTCTTTAACTCTACAATATGAAAATCCACTTCACCAGCTAATTACTCTTCGACAGCGATGCCATAAAAATATAAAAACGGAAGTTCAAAGTCAAAATTCTAAAAATGGCTGGACGCTTGTTTCTCTGGTGAATAAGGTCTATAGGCGTCTCTCAACTTTCTATTCACAATATCCCACAGATTCTCTATGGGGTTCAGGTCAGGAGAGTTGGCAGGCCAATTGAGCACAGTAATACCATGGTCAGTAAACCATTTACCAGTGGTTTTGGCACTGTGAGCAGGTGCCAGGTTGTGCTGAAAAATGAAATCTTCATCTCCATAAAGCTTTTCAGTAGATGGAAGCATGAAGTGCTCCAAAATCTCCTGATAGCTAGCTGCATTGACCCTGCCCTTGATAAAACACAGTGCACCAACACCAGCAGCTGACATGGCACCCCAGACCATCACTGACTGTGGGTACTTGACACTGGACTTCAGGCATTTTGGCATTTCCTTCTCTCCAGTCTTCCTCCAGACTCTGGCACCTTGATTTCCAAATGACATGCATAACTAAGCAACAGTCCAGTGTTGCTTCTCTGTAGCCCAGGTCAGGCACTTCTGCCGCTGTTTCTGGTTCAAAAGTGGCTTGACCTGGGGAATGCGGCACCTGTAGCCCATTTCCTGCACACGCCTGTGCACGGTGGCTCTGGATGTTTCTACTCCAGACTCAGTCCACTGCTTCCGCAGGTCCCCCAAGGTCTGGAATCGGTCCTTCTCCACAATCTTCCTCAGGGTCCGGTCACCTCTTCTCGTTGTGCAGCGTTTTTTTGCCACACTTTTTCCTTCCCACAGACTTCCCACTGAGGTGCCTTGATACAGCACTCTGGGAACAGCCTATTTGTTCAGAAATTTCTTTCTGTCTTACCCTCTTGCTTGAGGGTGTCAATGATGGCCTTCTGGACAGCAGTCAGGTCGGCAGTCTTACCCATGATTGCGGTTTTGAGTAATGAAACAGGCTGGGAGTTTTTAAAAGCCTCAGGAATCTTTTGCAGGTGTTTAGAGTTAATTAGTTGATTCAGATGATTAGGTTAATAGCTCGTTTAGAGACCCTTTTCATGATATGCTAATTTTTTTAGATAGGAATTTTGGGTTTTCATGAGCTGTATGCCAAAATCATCAGTATTAAAACAATAAAAGACCTGAAATATTTCAGTTGGTGTGCAATGAATCTAAAATATATGAAAGTTTAATTTTTATCATTACATTATAGAAAATAATGAACTTTATCCCAATATGCTCATTTTATGAGAAGGACCTGTATTATACTACCAGCTCAACCACCGCTGTCAACAGAATACACCTCACCTCAACCTGCGTACATCCTTGCTTACATGGAGTTACCAAAGACTGGTTACTAAATCAAAACCGGCTGTTATCAACACTGGACCCTTTTCCACGCTCCTCTGCCTTTGTGAATTGTGCAACCATAGAACTTTGTAACATCAAGAGGACATTCAGTTATTTGGTATTTCTTTTATAATGGTCTCAAAACATTAGCACCAAAAAAATTATGTTAATTGAATGTTTTTCCCCCCTGAAAATCTTTAGTTGGACTTGGACGTTCATCTAATGTTTTGTTTTAATGTTCTCTGAACATTCTGAAGAATTCCCAGTTTGCGATAAAACTGAATTGCCTTAACATTCGTACATAGACGTTTTTAAAACATTAAAAATATGGAAGTTTTAAAGTTCAGAGAACATTCAAAAATAAAAGAAATTATAACCGAATTGCATTAGCAAAACATTTTTAGAACATATTTTTAGCGGGTTTTTTTCTCAAGTCACGACCCACTGTTTGTTTGTTTCTCTTAAGAATTTGCACTCAGTGGGTCTCATTCACTAAGCATGTGTATGCATGTTATCTACGTAAGAACGTTTTCACGAACAAAGCGCAACTTTCGTTCCGGTTCGATTGTTTGACGAGAGTGTCGAAAGGCTTTGAAAGGAAAGGTTTTGCGGAAAACCCCTATATGGAGATGTTTGGGCGCGTT